AGAATCTCACACAGATGGTTGCGGGGTCCTACCAATGCACTGCCTACAATGAGGCTGGACAGGAAAGCTGCACTGTGCAGGTGAAAGTGCGGTGTGAGTATCAGAGGGCAGCAAACACTACAGCCATGGCAGGATTTCCCAGCAGTTCCTTTTCTGCTGATAGATAGATACCCCATGCCTGTGCAAGACTCTTGCCACACCTTTGAGTTAACTTTAGCACTTGCATAATCTGCAGCACCTCCTTGTTGCTCTCTAATTCATTTTATAAGTTTGTATAACATTCACTGATATAACCTGGGGTAGAATAAACACGGTTCAAGCACTCTGGGTCCTTAGAGGCTCTGCCTCTGTGAACAACTGCCTGACAAGGCACAGGGAATAAAACTGAATTGTGAACCTTGCAGCTTCTCTGGTGGTTGCATTTACAGTGTTAACAACTGTGCGGTAGATTCCTGTTAACTATAACATTTCTGCAGACTGTCTATCTTCCTGATTCCAAATGAAGCATCTATCCCAATTAAGAGAAGAATCTGTCAAAAAACTGCCTGCAAAGACTTACTCTGAAACAAAAAATATGCTGATTGAAAGTGACATTTGCCTCGTTTCCCTTAAATACATATTTGACGACTTCTGCATAAAGACCAGAGCTCTGAATATCACACCTGGCCACTACATCATCAAGAGGGGGGTGGGGTGTGTGCCTGCACCTTAAATTGATACTAGCTCAATTGTAGACACTTAGTTCGGTTGACGAGTAGCAGCGGTTTAATTTAAATCCATCATAACCGACTTTGCTAACCTGAAGCAGATGGGCTGAACTGAAAAAGGAGTCCACACAGCACCAGTTTTGCGGTATTTTAACTCAGTTATTTTAAAATCCCACTAAGCTGGCACAACTCTGTGTGTAGATAAGCCCTAAAGACACAAGTTTCAGCAAAGCCAAAATAAGTCACCCCTAAATTGAAAGAAATTGGGGTTTGCATTGGCTCAATTGAACCTTATCTAGAAAGGGAGGTGTTCGTTCTCACATTAACTTTTTTTATGAAAACGCCTTCTGTCCATACAGGTTTTATTTTGTTTTAAATCTAGTTCTTTTTTCTGAATAAAATAATCCACTGTGCAATTGGACGGAGTTCATTTTGGCCATATGGACATACCTGTTCATAAAAACGAAATTGTTTGCCTCTAACACTCCTCACGCTGCTTTGCTTTACAGAGGATTGACCTGTCCGTTTACCCACACGTCCCCTTCTGCTCTGGGGTCATGCTGATCAGGGGTCCTCTCCCTGTTTAAATGTTGGCCTGAATCATGGGCGCCCCAGTTTTTGTTCGGTGCTGTTGGAGTCACATGCCCTCCCCAATATGGTAGCAACCATGCTGTGCGAGGTTTAAAAATCAGTTTAAATGTATCCTGTGCTACCTCTGACTGCAGACAAGGCCGGAATAAATTGATTAAATAAACTGTGTTTTAACTTACTCCCATGAAATCCCATTGCCAATAATGAATGGAACCCGGGGAGGTCTTGACTATATGACTCCAGAGACAATCTACCAATCTGCATGTATTTACTTTCTGGTATAACAGATGCACAAAATATCGGGATGGTTGCTGGAGCAGTGACTGGGGGGCTGGTGGGATTGTGCCTGATTCTGCTGAGTGTGCGGCTGACTATGAAGAGGAAGGAAAAGAAGAGATATGAAGAAGAAGACACCCCAAATGAAATCAGGTAACTCCCTCTCATTAGCCTCTCCCTTTTCAGGCTCACACATACTGAGCATTATCCAAGCTGACGTGGTTTCTGCTGTCTATCAAGGAACAACCAACTCCCTCTTTGTAGATCCTGTGATAAAAAAGACTGTAAGGCTCCCAGAGCGACATGTCATTAATGAGATTCTTGATAACAAGGATGTTATTGCAGGGAAAATAAAATGGAGATATCCTCCAAATATAAGCATAATATACAATATTCACAAAGACATTAAATAGACTTTAATTAAAATCTGGTCTCTCTCTCCCCCCCCCAAACATGCATATGTGTGTACATACGCATGCAGACACCACCGTTCCCATCACTCTTGAGCCTGTATTTATCTCTTTACTGAACACAATTCCGGAAAATTCCCTTGGGTTTCTGAAATACTTTACTGATTTATTCTCAGTTTTGATTCCTGTCTGGGGTACGGTGGGACAGGCATGTTCTTGCACTCTTTCTGGCTGCATTTAACAACTGCACTTGTGAATTCATTTCAGGGCGAGGGAACTATTTTAGCATGAGAATGGGGAGTGAATCTCTGTCCTGGGCGGGTGTAGCAACAATGCTGACACAGTATTTGAACTTGCTTGTTCCATGAATATGATGGAAGCCCGTCAGCCCGCCCGCCCAGCCCAACAGGTCTTTCCCAGATGTAGCATGAGTCCTCCATAAGGAAGAGGAAATCTCTGGGAACATATTTCAGCAAGCCATGCCCTGGGAGAGAACCTTTTGCTTTCTTTTGGCCTTAATTCTGTTTAAGAAGGACTGCCTGGCCTCGCTTGACATCCTCTCATCTTTAAGCGGGAGTCTTTCTAATCCATTCAGCAGTGGTTCTCTGCCCAGTTATGGGTCAGGATGACTACTTAAGTGCCTTGTGTGCTGGAAATAAGCTGTTTGCTTTGCTAAGCCCTAGCCTGCTGACAGAGGTTCCCTGCCTGTCTCTCACCTGCTTTCTCAGCTTCAGTCTCTCACTACCCATTTCTCTTCCTCTTTTTGTTTCCGTCTCAGCTTCCTACATCATCTGTTCAGCCATCTCTCCTCACTCTGCCTCTCCTCCTTCCTTTTTTGTGCCTGATACTGCCCGCTTATACTAGTGGCATTTTACTTCTTAACTGGTCCCACTGGTTTCTGCTCCAGCGAACAAGTACTCATGCATTATGAGTTAGAAATATAGAATAAGACTGCTAATATCTGAACTCCTTTGCACTTGTGCTCTGCATGCCTCCCACAGATGTCAAAGCCCTATTCTGATTAAAATAAAGCCATGAGAGAAATGTGTTGTTAAACCTATTTTACAGAAAGTTTAGGTGAAGGTTGGAGAATTTAAGGTACTTGCTGCAAGGACACACAGGAAGTTAGATGCCAAGAAGAACTGAAACCAGGAGTCCTGGTACTGTGCTCAGACCACTAGACCTACTTGTCTGTCTTACACATAATTGAGAACCTTAATGAACATGTGTTGTTCCTAGTGGCAACTCAATTGGGTATAATCTGTGGGTGTTTCCATTCCAGTTTTGCTGTTTTAATCCCAACATCCCTTGCTTGATTGCAGAGAAGATGCGGAGGCCCCAAAAGCCCGTCTAGTCAAACCAGGCTCCTCTTCTTCTGGCTCCAGAAGCTCACGTTCAGGCTCTTCCTCGACAAGGTCAACAGCCAACAGTGCCTCTCGTAGCCAACGGACTTTGTCAACGGAGGCCACCCCTCAGATAGCTCCTCTGCGGTACAGCCAGGTGGATGGTGAAGGAAAGGAAATAGATCCAAAGAAAGTCGATCACGCAAGCCTGAAGAAAACAGGAGCCATCCCCATCATGGTGCCTGCTCAAAGCCGGGCCTTCCAGACTGTCTGACTGCTTGCCAGCTGTCCTGAGACACCTGCCATCCAGAACTACTGTACACATCACACGTCCTATATGAAGTGTTAGATTAGCTTATCATCTTGCAGGTCAGCTTATTTTTAATCACTCATGCCAGGAAGTTCTCACCTTTGACTGTCTACATATTCCTGCACTGAGTTTCCGATACAGTTTTTTAAAAAAGGAACTGAAATTGAGGGAAAGGGATTTTCTTTTTAAGATTAACTCTTTAAAAAAGGGAGTGTCCAGTCCCTAAAAATACAGCTGAAAAATCTGGAAGTGTAATGTTTTGGGGTCTGGAACCAAACCTCACTCTTTTTTTAAACAAAGGGATCAATAGAGAAAGAAACCATGTTATAGGCTAGGGGGCTGTCATGGGGCGTGGGGTGGAGAGGTCATTTGTACAGATTTTTTAAAGCCTGTAAATGAGCCATTGCCTTGTCATCTGAGGCACAGTCTCATAGTCTTCACTGAGAATGGTCCTCAGATCAGCTTCAAAGGGAATTTAACAACTGCTTCAGATTCTTTGCATTTGCCTTGGTGAAATGTTATAGGAAGCTGGGATGTGAACAAAAGGGAAAGTGACAACTTGAACTGTAATTAAAAATCAGCTTTAATGTAAAAGTCTGGACTAGCCTTTGTACTAAAGAAAGGTCCCTCTTTATTTGGTGAGAGAAATGCGTTAATTGCAAGAGAAAGCTTAGCACTGAATTAATAGAGTTATGATTGTGTTAAAGTAACAGATTCTGATCTTATTAGCACCAGCATACTCTGAAGAGTTGATACACTGATTTCTGTGGAACTACATTGGTACACAACTAGTTTACATTAGATCAGGATCAGAATCAGGCCCTGAATCCCAAATAAAGGAGGCCCCTGGAGCAGTCAGACTACGGATCTGATGGTGTGGGAGGGTGCACTTCTGAGTCCCAGGAGTGATAATGCACCACTGCCGGGGTGAGGGGGTGAGCAGTATTGATGAAACCTTTTCAAGAGTCTTAGGGCTGAAAGAACAAGGTGCTTGGATTGCCTTTTTCCTGTCAGAATAGAAGGCTGAGATGCATTAATAGAGACTTGTGTGAGGGAAGTGCACAACAAATTTAAAACTAAGAGAAGAACAACCTTTTGTACACAAGGCATCTCATGGTGGAAGGCGCTGTCACACACTGTTACAGAAGCTAAGGACTCGGTGGGGCTCCAAAAAGGATTAGACATTACAAGAAGCATAGAAATGTTATCGGTGATGACATGAGGTAGGATAAATCTTTCTAATGGATTTAAAGCTGCCTTCTTCAACCAAGTAGTGTGTGATGGGGGCTAGGGATAAACTCCCACAAGCAGATTATTCCATAATTGTGCAGCATGGTGTTCTTTGCACTTTCCTTTTGAAGTGCTTGATCTTGGCTGCTATTAGACACCAGATTTGGTACTAGATGGGCCACTGGTCTGAGCCGGTATGAAAGGTCCTACAATTTGTACTCCTATATTCAGGACTGAAATATTGTAACTGGTTTCTGTTCTTTCTCTCACCTGAGAAAGGGAGAGCTGTCCTCTGTTCCATGGAAAAAGTCCATATTGGAGACATCCTGGTACTGTACAGAGAACTGAACAAGTATGAATCTGTAACTTACTTTCACTTGAGGGATTATGCTTACCCTTTTTTGTAACTGAGGCCAGGTATTTCAGGTTCTTTGATGGAAACTTTAGAAAAGAATTGCTATTGCTTGTGATTTCCCCAGAAGTAGGAAGCCTTGATCAGATGCAAGACTCTGATTTTACTTTCATCAGGCAATGCTGTTTCAAAGACACTTGAGAGTGTCCAGGAGGAATTATACCTGTCCTGTATTCTTTGAGTACCTTCTCCTTTCTAATAGTTTTACTCCCTTCATCCTCGCATGCAAAAATGCTTACTTCCCTTATGCCAAATACAAAGTTTCCACCATCAGTATGGCAACAAACCACTATTGTTACATAAGGGAGTTCCAGATTTAATCATAGAAGTCTATTGGGAAAAGCTCTGATTGTAATACTTTTTGTCAAACTTCTGCTTCCCTGATACAGTGTATAGTGTTGAGAGGCAAGGGTTGGCCATTGTTTCTGTTTTTCTTTTGATCTTGTGCCATTGTTTTGACCACAAGGGAGTTTCTGATAGAGCTACCCCCGCATAAACCGGTGGGTGTAGTCATTGTCATCGGCTACTTTGGAAAAAGTAGCTGGTAAGTATTTGTGGTTCCCCACCCTGCATAGAGGGCCTTTCAAAGCATCTCTTAGGTGCCACAAGCCCTCAGGGTGCAGAGCATAAGCAGAACATCTCCTGCAGTGCACGGTTTTTATGCTGGCCTTCTCCACAAGGGTGAATTTTACCAAGCAGGTGTTTGCATGGTGTTAGGAGACTACCGTCTTACCCAGAGTATCTCCAACACATTCTCTAACATTTCTGAGATCCTTTATTTCAAGTAAATACTGGATCAGACTGCTCAGTAGAGAGCTTCATATATGTGTAACCAGTGGCCTACTACCAGAGAATGGAGGTAAAGGATTCATAGTTGAGTTGGCTGAGGTCTAGATACAAGATACTGTACATTCTTTTTGAGCCTTTACTTGATACTCTAGATCTGCCGGCCAAACTCGCCATTATGTAATTGAAACCAGCAAAAGGCTACGGTGCTGCTGTTCCAGCCAGGTACCAATGATCTTACAGGTTTAAAATGAAGTCAGCAATGAACTTCATTTAAAATGAAGCCAAAAAAGGGAAGAGCTAACTATTCGAAGGGAACACAGGGAAGTGATTATTTCAGCGGTGACTTATTTCATTTTCAAAGGGATGTTTTCTGAGCTCAACATGGAACAATCGAGAGTTTTAGGAGGGAAATAAGTTATGGCAAACCAAACTCTTTTGTAAAATATTGTATTTGAAGCATTTACTGTTATGCTGTATACCAGTTATTACTCTAGTGTAATTACATACACCCTTATGTAGCTTTCTTGATTCAGTGGTTAAACTGAGTTTACTTTTCTCTTCTATCTGCTATAAGTGGTGTACTTGTATTGTGTCTGAGCAACACAGAGGAAACCATATTTATTATAGATTCCTTTGAATCAACAATGTAATGGGATTGAGGGGTTTTTGTTTTGTTTTTTGTTGATTTTTTTAAAATAAAGATGCTGCAGGTAGGCAGACTGCAGTTCAGCTAAACTTGTAATAATGTTCGGTTTGCTAAGATTTTTTTTTGTACTATACACAGCGAGGCAAAGTTCCAAGCGAAAGCAGAAAAATATTGTCTGCAAACTAATAAGTATTCTGTGTTTACAGTGTTTTAAAACCTGAGGGAAACCACAATCTCTCTCTCCCAAAGGCCTTTCAGTCTAAATTAGATGCAAGACAAAATATAGTAGGTAAATATGAAATAAACTCCTGGCCTCATGGAAACCAATAGGAGTTTTTCTGGGGACGTGAGCAATGCAGCCTTTCACTTGCAGGTTTGGGTTAAGGTAGATATTGGGTATAGAGCACAAATGAAGTTCTCACAATAAAGAGAACCGGGTTCAACCTTACACCTGAGTTTATAAATATATAAACTAAAAGGTTTGCAAGATGACATTAAAACTGTTAAAAACTAACCTGATTACTATTACAGGGGTTCAGGCTTTTCTTTTTTCCCTGGATGTTTTATGCAAACGTTTCCCGTTGCAATGGGTATCAGCTCTTTTATCTACTTATTTATTTATTTATTTATTTTGCAGGTCACTGAGGACAACTTGCAGTACAGTTACACAATTGGAAGCAAAATACAATGCCAAGCCAGTTGTTTGATAGGTGTCAACTTTGCTCACCAGTACAGGAAAGAACTGACTCTGCCCTCAGAAAGACAGGTTCTCGCTGCCTCGATTCTGGGCCCCTCCTTGCTATGTTGGCACATTTATTTTTAATTTATTTCCTCTATGCAGATTATTTCCTAGCATACAGAGTAGGCCAAGGGAGTTTTAACATAAAGCAAGGCAACTACACAAAGGGTTTCTCATAAAATATGAGGAATCACCGAATTTAATTGAGGAGTAGAAATAAAATGATGTAAATGTACATGCTTTATTGTTAGACTGGGATCTTTTTCCAGGCAAGACCTACCTTTCACTATGTGTTTGTATGGTGCCTTGCTCAGTGGGGACCAGATCTCATTGGACAGGCAGAAGCTGATGGAATACAAATCATTAGGGAGAAGAATTGGAAAAATATTCTATTAAATTTCCCTATTCCTTCCCCAAGTTTGCTTTTAGTTCTGAAAGGCTGAGTTCACTAGGCCCTGGAGTAGGGACCAAGTTTGTTTGTAAAAAAAACCCCACTGCAGTCAGTCTTTGCACAGCAAAGATGTGGGAATATTAATTTCTACGACTGTACTGAACTCCTGTTTCTCTGAATTACTGTAAATTGGCCCCCTTTATCACAGGTACTGCCCTTACCTTCTGGCCTTGTGCAGTTCAGTGCTCCTCCCTGCACTGACTCATGTTTCTTTAGGTTGCCTTAAACTACCATTAGTCAGCTGTACAAAATACAGTGAATCATCTGACAGCCACTATTCCTTTAATTTGAGTATGCCAGTAGCTCTTGTTCTTAGGTCTTGCAGAAATTCTGCTAATGACAAACTAAAGCACAACAAAGACTCATTGCCAAGCTTCCCAAAACCTGCAAACCCTTACAAAATAATGCTGTAGACCAAATCCCCTGGTCCTTGTTCAGGATACAGTCTAGCATTGCATGGTGGGGTGGGCAGTTGCAGGACTGAGGGCCCGGAGGGCAATTCAGGGCTCAAGTCTGTGCTGGAAAGGGTGGAGTATTGCCACCCATCAGCATTGTGGAGGTGGCAAATGAGCCCTGGCCCCTTGCTGGATCCTGCCCCTTTCAGGCAGCTATTGGAAAAGGAAGATAGCAGTGCTAATATGAACACCCCACCCTCACCTCCGACAGTTTTATCACCCATGTGCAGGAGTGGGGAGTTTCTTTCAACCTTTCTGGGGCCTAGTATAACTATACAAAGATATACCAGGTTTTGGTCTGCTATTTTTTGCCCAGTCCGTACTCAGCCAGACTCCCAGTGCTTTCAATATGTGGATCTTTACCAAAAAAATTGTGAGCAGGCCTGCCCTTAGGTAGCTTATGACATCTGCCCCAACATGCAGCCTAAAGCAGTAGGACCTACCGCGGGGTTTGCATCTGCTCACCTTAAATCTAAAGTGCCTAGGGAAGCATGTTGTAAGTTAACAAATACAGTTTCCCACAAATACGCTATTTGCTATTTTTAAAACAGATTCTATTTCCTTTTCCTTCTGCTGCCAGAAGTCAATGTGACAGCACGAAGCGTGAGTGGCAGGTGGCGGTGCAGCTCTGTACACAGTTCCACTCAGACATGTACTGTAGTATGGAGACAAATTCACTGCTGTGCTTTAGTTTAGTCCAATGCACCGGCACTGTTACGAGCTAGAGAAGCTTATATAGGATTCGAGAGTATGATTGATGAGCTACCCCTGAGGCCAGCTTCTCCTCAAAGGAGAAAACACTGCATCACCCTGAAGCAACAGGATCAGTCTTCCTCTAACTGATGCATGGAATTAGGGGCCAGGGACACAGTGAAAGGTCTTCGGCTGCCAAAAGCTAAAATGAAGGCTGAGGGTGGAAGCACATTGCTAGGCAAGATCATTATGTATTTACCAAAGCTAATAGCTTAGCGAGTCTTTAAAAAGCATTAGATGCTGCAGTATAAATAAGAACGGCATCTGTAGTTGCTAGGATAAAAATTACAAGTGCTGTCAATCATTTTAGGGCATGGAGGGATCGCCAGCTGGTTTAGGAAGCAATTATCGTTCTCCCCTGTGGCATCGTGTTGGACTACGCTAGAGGTTTTCATGTTTTCATTTCAGTCATCTAGCATGGACCGCTGCTGGAGACGCAACACTGGAGCAGATGGGCCGGTGACGTGTTGTGTTACGGACAAGCCTATGGCACATGAGAGGTAGGCAGTGAAGGAGGAGCAGGCTTGCACCTTTCATCAGAGTATCCGGTACGGACCAGGTGTCTGAGCCGGGCTGCAGGACAGGTGCAATCCACCGTGCAGTTATGTTTCTTATGCGGCATAAAGGAGCGGACACGGGTTTTACTGATTCCTCCGTAGCTTGCAGCAGTGGGCGCCGCTAGACAAGAGAGCAGACAAAGCGAGTTGTTAATTTGGGTCGTCCTGTCTCATTAGAGCACCTTCCATTTATACAGGTCAAAGCACTTTACAAAGGTGAATGTTATTATCTCCGTTTTACAAGATAGGGGAAGGGCCCAGAGACTCCCGGGGACTTTCCCTGGGTCATCTGGTAGCTCAGTGGCAGGGCTGGGATCAGCCATCACGTCCCCCGGGCCCTGCCGCCCTTGCCCTCGGCCTCCCTTCTAGCGAGGCCTTACGAAGTGGCGTAAGAGCGATGCTGTAGCCGTGAGGATTCGGACATGATGCGAGAGGCGAGGGTTTCTTAGGGCGGTATCTCTTGTTGGACCAGCTGGAATTGAAATCAAGCTTCCCAATGCCGGCCGTTCTCCCTCCCTTCTCTGGCGATAGGCGGCGAGTAGGCACGCGGTGCCTGGCGTCCTGCGACGGGAGAGCGCCTTCGCCCTGAGAAATCCTCGCCACGCCTGTGGAGGGGGAAAGACGAGACAACTTTCCCCAGAAGCCCCTCAACGCCGCTCCCCGGCGGTTGGAGACTCCCGGGCGGGAGGCTCCGGTTGCAGACGGGGTCGGCCGCCAGCGCTGTTCAGGGAGGTTTCCACGACGTGAACGTGCCCGCGACAACGCGAATGTGCCTGCAACACAATGTGAACATGGCCAAAACACACTGCGAACGTGCCCGTGACATGTGAACGTGCCCGTGACACGTGAACGTGCCCGTGGCACAATGTGAATGTGCCCGTGACACGTGAACGTGCCCGTGACACAACGTGAATGTGCCCGTGACACGTGAACATGCCCAAAGCGCAAATGTGCCCGTGACACAACGTGAACATGCCCATGACACAATGTGAATGTGCCCGCGACACGCCGATGTGCCCATGACATGTATGTGCCCACAATGCAAATGTGCCCGCGACACGTGAACATGCCCGTGACACGTGAATGTGCCGACACGTGAACGTGCCCGCAACACAACGTGAATGTGCAGACATGTGAATGTGCCCGTGACACGACATGAACGCGCCGAGGCCCAGGCGAGCGCGCCTGTGACGCCAGGCCGCGGGGGGCAGACGTAGCTGGGCGGTGGATCAGGACGCGGGGCACTGTGGCAGGAGGGCAGTTCGTGGTGCATTTTAAATCCCACCAGACACGGGATTCAACACTGAATATTTATTTTAACATGGCCCTCTCGCTCCCCGCAGTGACTGGAGCGGTCCCCTCACCCCTGGAGGCGGCGGGCTGAGAGGGCTGCCGTTTGGGGGCGCGTGGCTGCCAACCTGCAGCCAGTTTCCCCTAGCCCCCCCCCCCCCGGGGGGGGCGGGGGGGGGGGGGGCCCCCCCATTTTTTTTCTCCCCCGCTCCTCCCCCCCCCCGCCATTCTAATATGCAAATAGCGTCGCAGCGCGCCGCTCCGATTGGCCACTCCTGCACTCGTTGCTCCGCCTCCCCCGCCCGCCCAGCGCTGTTCGGCCTCTCCCTCCGCTTCCGAATTCCCCCTATGGAAATGAGGAGGCGGGCCCGAACAGCGGATTGGTTCCCGCGCGCTGCCTTGGATCCACCCCTCACTTCCCTCGCGGGGGCTAGGAGCATGAAGGTTCGAGAACGCCGGCCGGCGGGCCCGCCCTCTTCCTGCTGCGTCACGGAGGGAGCGGCGTTCCGGCGGCGGG